CCAGCTTGCACCTCTGGAAGTTCTCTGTCAATATACTGCTGCAACCATTTTTGAATTATCTTCAGTAAGATCTTACTTGCATGTGATATTAATACTGTTCGATAATTTCCACATTCTGTGGGATCACCTTTCTTTGGAATGGGTACAAATATGGACCTCTTCCAAATCTCTTGGCATAACCGAGTAAGTGCCTCCAGTGAAGGCATCCATTTGTTGAAATATTTCAATGGATATTCTGTCAATTCCCAGAGCCTTGTTCTTCGCCAATTCCTTCACTACAGCTTCGACTTCCTCCTTCAATACCATTGGTTCTAGATCATATGCTAACTCCTGAAATGGATGAAGATCGACCAGATCTTTTTGGTACAGTGACTCTGTGTATTCCTTCCATCTTCTTTTGATGTTTCCTGAATCATTCAATATTTTGCCCATAGAATCTTTCAATATAGCAACTCGAGGCTTAAATTTTTTCCTCAATTCTTTCAGCTTGAGAAATGCCGAGCATGTTCTTCCCTTTTGGTTTTCTAACTCCAGGTCTTTACACATTTCATTATAGTAATTGGCTTCGTCTTCCCTAGCTGCTCTATGAAATCTTCAGTTCAATTCTTTTATCTTGTCATTTCTTCCATTTGCTTTAGCTACTCTCCACTCAAGGACAAGTTTCAGAGTTTCTTCTGTCATCCATGTTGGTCTTCTCTTCTTTTGTTGTCTTTTTAGTGACCTCTTGCTTTCTTCATGGATGATGTTCTGGATGTCATCCCACAATTCTTCTGGTTTTCGGTCACTGGTGTTCAGTGCATCAAATCTATTCCTTAGATGGTCTGTAAATTCAGGAGGGATATATTCAAGATCTTATTTTGGCTCTCGTGGACTTGTTTTAATTGTTTCTAACTTCAAGTTGAACTTGCATAGGAGCAGTTGATGGTCTGTTTCACTATCAGCTCCTGGCCTGATTTTGGCTGAAGATACTGAGCTTTTCCATCGCCTCTTGCTACAGATGTAGTCAATCTGATTCCTGTGTGTTGGGCAAATTTAGGGGCTGAAATATATGGTGTAAATAGACTATCAAGCACAACCCAAAATTCACAAACAGCAGAAGAGAAACAAAGATGAATAGACCCTCCTAAATTTAAATTTTTATGTGCTTCCAAAGACTTCTCTAAAGAGTAAAAAGAGAACCTACAGATTGGGAAAGAATATTCAGTGATGACATGTCTGACAAGGGACTTAGCTCTAGAACTTATAGAAAACTCTAACACCTCAATGACAAAAAGACAAATAATCCAATTAAAAAATGGGCAGAAGACACGAATAGACACTTCACCAAAGAGGATATTCAGGTGGCCAACAAACATGAAGATATGCTCACAATCGTTAGCCATTAGAGAGATGCAAATAAAAACAACAATGAGATACTACCATCTTGCTCAAGCACTAGTAGCAAAGTTCAACAAGACAGAAAATAACAAATGCTGGC